TTTTAAAATACATTGACGATGACATTTTCTCTTTTTGATTTTCTCCATCATCATGATCTGAGTGCATGGGTCTCTGGCATTGGTTGTTCTGCATGTGCATTGAAACTTTAGTTTCACTTTGTTACATGAGAGAATATGCAGTTCGATTGGGAGATCTTTTGTTTTGTGAGGAAATAGATGCAAAACTTTAATGGTAAATTATGCACATCAGATTAATTTAGGCTAATCATCATTAATATTAATTTCCCTGAAAAAATATTTGTGGCACTCCTTTGAAGTATATATTTTCTGTTTGTCACAGGCATTCAAGAATGTATTAGAGAAACATGTGGGAGTGAATCCGGAAAGTTCAAAACCAGGGGTCAGATGAGATACCTGGTGGTGTGATCTCCAGGGACGAATTGGCCCACTGGGAATCTTCATAGGGGGAATTGATGCATACTCGAAACAGAAGGCGCCCCCTCCGGGGGGGGGGGGGGGCGGTTTGAACGGTGCAGCATGTGTCAGAGGCATACAAGCCATCTGATCAGTGTGTTTTGATTTGTAAGTAGCTTAATACATTGAAATGATATCTAGCTGCTGTTTAATAACCCCATGATTTATGCTTCCTAAGATGCATATTGTTAAGTTCGGACTACCTATACTCCTTTAAGCTAAACTATCGCGCTAACTACAAGAAGGATGGATTCTTTCTATGTAAATGAAGTTTATAACGTCTCTTATTCAGAGTGACTCGTGTCTGCGAGGAAAAATGATGCTATGAAGGGCCCGGTCAGAGCATGGGATACTGAATAAAATCTTTGAAAATATTGTACAAATTTCAAGTATACGCATTTCTATCGCACCTTGTAACTTTTGTATGTTTGCGGTAAATTTATTCTCAAATATGAAGTAACTTTCATTGAAGTGATTAATTTAAAAAAAAAATTGAAATCAGAACGATAAGTTGTTTAACGGTTACATGCGTCAGCATTATTCTAGTGGACTTACTAGATTGGTAGGAAAAAATTGCGAGCGTAAAACTGTACTGAATCTTTGGCTTGGAAAAAAAAAATACTGAATCATATAGCCTAAATGAACCTCAATATCCCAATTAAATATGATCACACTCAGTGAATGGGGAGTTAAACCTATCGGAGAACAACCAAATAATGTTTTGAGTAACACCGCAGGGATTGGCCAAAAAAAAAAAAACAAAAAAGTAACGAAACGGGGAATATCACCGCCTAAGATTCTTTGTACGTTGGAGTGTAATCTGGTTGCAATGATCCAGTGTGTTGTGCGGCATATAAGTCATTACGCGAGGATTAGCAGAAGAAGTAAAGAAAGAAAAGAAAAGAAAGGGAAGAAAAGCAGGGAAAAGAAAGTTTTGGTAATTATAAGGAATTGAAGAAAGAAAAAGAGGAAAAGTAGGGAATGAGTTGAGGGGAGATTCCTAAGTGGAAGATGACATGAGCAAGCAGGAAGGAATAGAAGGGAAGGGAGGCTTTTGGTTTGTCTTTTTATGCAGAGGGAAGAGATATGAAAATGAAAAGAGGCAGTCTTTTTTAGTAGGCAATTGGGATATATAGTACCCCCTAACCCTGCAACTTATAAATTTACTTTCTAAAAGCTTCAACATACACACCATAACACCCAAAACCTGCTTTTGTTAATCCCCAGGCCTTTTTCTTTCTGCCCTAGTGGATATATTGTTTTAATCACAAGCATCTTTTTCCATACCATTTGCCATATGCTAGGACGCTGTGCATGTAAGTGGAACTTTAAAGCCATCGTATAGACATTTTTCCACACAAATTGTTCACTTAAGCATGTTGGGTTTCTCTCTCTCTCTCTTTCTCTCGTTGCCATTTTCAAAATGCATTCAGTTTTGGGCATCCAATAATCAAGTCCTCAACAATCAGAACTATTTCAGCCAACCTATAGCACTCTTTGTGTGTGTGTGTTTGTGTGTTTAAGATTATGATCGTTGCTAAACTTGAAAATCAAAATTGAAGTTCCAACGACTTTGCACAGAATTTGATAAAGGGTTCACACACTCCACAGGAAAGAAGGCTGATGAGGGACAGTAATTTTAAAACTTTGAGCATCTTTTTAACAGCCGTTGACATATTTTTCAACCTTCTTTATTTTCAATTCTCTTCCTTTTCCTTTTCCTTTGGGTTTAGCACCACCATATACGTATTGGTGTCGGACCACCATCACACTGCGCACAAATGCACATACACGCCATCAACTTATAGTTTCTCTTTTCACTCACGCTTATGGCAGGTTTTATACCCTTCCTTGCTCCTCTTTACAAAAGCCTCACCATTTCTTCGATAACCATCCCAGTTTTGTTTTAGACCTGCCCCCTCAAAAGAGAAAGCGTGACCAGGTGTAAACTATAAAAGAATTTCTTGGAATTTGAATTTGCCCTTTAGGTAATTCCTGTGCCCACCATATTCCAATTCTTTGAATCATATGTAGTTTTTTTTTTTTTTGGGGATTAAGCAGAAGATTTCCTTTACAGCAAGTCATGCATGTATACGTGTCTGTGGATGTAAACCTTGATAACCTCCCCATGAAGAAACACTTTCTTTAATTTGACTTGTCCTTTTCGGGTCGTTGCATTGGCTGCATTAGTCATAATGCGAACCTTTTTCATCACTAAACTTTAGTTCAGGGGACCCAGGTGGATGTGGTGATCATCAGTATCATCACTTTGTGGCCTCACAGGAGACTCACGGGCTAGTATTTGGAGAGCTGATGAGCTGTTTCGATCTGAAACATTTAGAAAAAAGTGTTTAGGTAAAATGGTGAGGTTTGAATGATTAATGGCCAACTTGAGCCTTGTGGAGCCAAGTCTTGCCTAGATGCAGACAAAAAAGCTACAGATTTGAATCCTTGTGATATTCAGCTAAGCTAGCTAAATGCAAAATTGCGTCACTTCTTGCTTCGCAGTCCACGTCTTTCGCTGTCCAAAATTATACCAATAATAATTTTCAAAACCACAAGCTCCTTGATGTGGAAAGATAACCTGATTTCTATTAGTCCATCAAGGATGCTTGATCTCATGAATTATTGTTTTTTAAAGCAAAGGATTTAGATACGTTTTTTTTTTTAACATCAGGATCATGATATTTATCTAACTACCTAAGCTTAATTAATTCTTGTTTTGATATTCAAAAAATGGTGAGATCGATGGAACGCTTGTGAAATCAAAAAGTATAATGGTTTGGCAAAATGAAAGGCACGTGTGTGTGTGTGTGTGTAACTCTATCCGCGTCCACCTACACGTGATCACTTCAACTCATCATCTCTCTCGGTAGTACTTGCTTCATTCTCTATCACACATAGACTTTATCTTCAACCAGATGCGATATCCCCATTCAAAACCTATGATTGATTTCACGATCATGAATTTGATCACTTTGAAGGGATCGATGTAAATAATAATGTTTTTCTATTTATGCCACACAGCGCGAGTATGGAAAAAGACATAAATGCATGACACCGCCCGTGATGGGGACGTCGTTAATAAAATATCGCCGTGCTTGTAATTAATTAATTATTTATTTATAATTCTCTCTATGCTACGCTAATAATTAGGTAATGATTTGAAATCAAATTTCTATATCTCTTAAAAATCAGTGAGAAAAACGTGTACAACAAATGCCCCTCGAATGTCCTCTTACGGGGTTAAACCTAATCTACATATTGATAATTTATTTTTGTTCGAGTAAAACATGTTGATAATTAATCAATACGGCATGAGGAACGTCAACAACCTCATCAAGAACTGAAAATACTACAGGGCATAATGTACGATGGTCTTAGTTTAAATTGTTCCGAGCATAGAAAATAATAAAAAAAGGTTAGACATATTAATTAACATTAGATTTGTATTGGGTTTAAAAATTGAAGATCGGTAATGTCACGTACGTGAACTATTAATTGATAATTGTTTATTTATTTTATTGTAGGGTTGAACGATGAAGTTCGTGACAAAGAATGCGTATATATGATTTAAATTTCCCAGTGATTAATCTATAGCTCTTATCGGGTACTTAAATTCTTTTGTTTGTTTTTTTTTTTTTGGGGATAACATACATAGAGAAATTAGAATACTAATCACTCGACATCATGACATGAATTCAGTCGTTCGGGCTGAACGATATAAACATAAATACGAAAGACTTGCACACACATATTAATCAATGGGTAAGGCTTAGGTACTAATTAGTCTTATATACTTAATATATTTTTATTCAATTAAATTAAAATAAGTGAATTTTATTGTGTGAATAATATTAATTACATAAATTTATTGTAGAATAAATAATTTATAAATGATGCACACATTTTGATTTAGTTAGAAACGAGCACCTCAAATATAAGATTTATAAGTATATGAGTTTTTTCCTTAATCAATTTCATTCTGTCTTTTATATACATTGTACGCCCAAAGAGAACAATCACAAGGAGACTGATCAATGATCACTCACCACAAAATACTTCATGGTTCATAATTAACTTAATAGGAGGGATTTTGGTACATTCTGTTTCCACCCATCTGAGCTGCGTAACGTGTATATGTATCGTGTATATATAGTTATATTTACCTAAGCAGGCGGAAAAAGTGAAGTTTTACAGTAAATACAATTTTTTCGATCGGTATACTACGTACGGTAAATACAAATTTAGTCGGTAAAGATTATAAGGAAATGGAACGTAAATAATTAATTGCCTCTATATCTAAAATCAATTAATAAAAAACAAATTCTATTTTGAAATTCATAAGCACACATGAATGATCACATCCCAGTAATCTCTAACAAACCTTAATTTGGTACATGCGTATATAAACGATGAATGATTTACATGCATTAGGCATCCCTTGACATTTTACTTGTTTACAGGAACTGTTAAATGAAGGTAAAAAATACGAGATAAATTAAAAAAAATATTAATTTGTTAGCAGAAGGGAAAAGCTGTTGGGGATAGAGACAAGACATGAATGGCGATAGCAATAAAGGATAAGTGATTATAATTTTGCATGTGACATTTTCTCTGTTGCCTTACTGGCAAGGTAAAGCCACCATCCTCCCCACCTCTTGACTCTATATCTCTCTGTTTGCAATTCCACCACACACACATGCACACAGTCTCCTCCTCTAGTTCCTCTCTATATCTCTGTGTGTGTATATAGTTCTGGCAACGAAATAAAATTACAGTTTGGGTGACGAAACAAAATTATAGAACTAGTTCTATCTTTGAGAAATCGATGAATGGTAACAAACATCTGAATATAACGGTGTCGTAGTTCTAGAAAAGAAAGGGAAAAGCCAAAAGGAAAACCAAACCTAACTGACCTGCACGTTCATGAACAAAGCCTAATTATACTTTTAGACGTTTGCTACAGGTTCCCCAGTCAAAAGATGGCGAGCGAGGAATTTTCTTTCTTTCTTTCTTTCTTTGGAATTCGATTAATTTATATATAGTTAATTATTTTATTTTTTGAAAAACTTCTCCACACACCATCTTTTCACTGCACAACTTGATATCAAACGTCTGACTCCCATCCTAGCATACATAAATTATAATGGAGAAATCTTCTCGCCCATTTTACCCTTGCCATTTGGAAGTATTTCTCTTGTTGGGCTTAATAATTGGTCCACGTCTCGGGGGCATTGGAAGTCCCAACGAATCCGAAACCTTGTCGGTACTTGAAGAGCGAGTGGTGATGGTGGTGCTCGTACACATCCCCCGTGAACGTCATGATATCCTTCAGGTTGACCGCTCCGCCGTTCTCTCCGTCTCCTCCGTTGTGGGCGTCGTCGGTGAGACCCAGGAAATCCCTCGTTAGATGCTCATTCTTAAGATTCCGAGTCGCGAACCCTCTCATGTAGTCAGGCACCACCGACCCGAGCTGATTCACTGATCCAAACTCGCTCACGCTGAGCTGATGAGTCAGGTGATGAGGCTGAGACTGGGATGGTTGGGGCGTGATTTGGGTGGCACCGACGGTGGCAGCCTTTTGGAGGAGAGCGGTGGCAGAAAGGTGGGCTGACGTGGCAGAGTTTGAGGAAGGTTGCGTCGCCATGTGGAGGTTTCGAAAAGGTGTGTTTATCATGGAGCTCTTGTGATGAGAATGAGGAGGTTCCTGAAGAAACGAAGGAGGCATCTGGAAATGTTGAGCTTCGGGCTTGATTTGGATAGCGTTGCTAGGGTTAGGGTTTTCTTGAGATGGGTTCCATTGATTATTGAGGAAGCTGTGTTGGTTGGGATAGAGGAAGAGAGATTGGAACAGTGGGTTCGTGGTGGTCGAGGCTAGTTGATTTGCTGAGAGTCTTGCACTTTCTTCTGCCAATGCATCACAGAATGCTCTATGAGTTATGAAGCTGTCCTTCCTGAATGCAACAAGAAAATATGGAAGAAGTTAATAAATAAATAATTAATGATGACGTCCATCTTCTTCGGGCACACTGATTTTCAAGAGATTAAGAGACTCTCATGAAAAATAAACATGGTATGCACATATAGTTATAGCTTTTCAACTTTTCAAATGATGGTATGGGACGCGACTATCTCATTTTTCATTGATCTTTGCAAATGCGGGTGAAATAATGCATGCATATATTTGAGAACTTGCTTTAGCAGACGTAGTGTCTTCGTAGAAAGTGTCCCGCGTTTTGCAAAAAAGGTGAGGGAAATCATGCACGGGGCAGAGAGTTCGGCTGCCACACAAGAGATAATCGATTTGTTGCAGAGAGTCAAGTTAAAAGTAGGGAAGAGAGAGAAAGAGAGAGTGATGAATGACAAGACAAGGATAAGCTTATGCATGCAAAAAGAGTTGCCATACGATGGTATTGGCTCAAAATGTTCTAAGGTTATTGGTAATATGTAACTGTTATGATGACAAAGTTTTTTTGAAACTAGAGCGCATGTATGAAACGAAAAGATAAACAATTGAAATCAATCAATACCCCATACATATGACTCATATCTGAAGCCAAAAGAAATTAACTGGGCATATATATCAGATATTTTTGCAGATTTCGCAGATTTTACAATGATTAAGGCTCGGACCAACAAACGCACAGAACGAGCGAAGAAGCAAAAAAGAAGGGAGAGAGAGGTCATCACAAATTTCTCAAGTATCATACTTATTCCCCTTTTCAGAAAACAAAAATAGCTCGCCATCATATTTTTCGAGAATGCAGCCACTCCAGACACAGATATTTGTAAGTACATCAGGAGAGAGAATATTTAAGCCAGGAAGATAATTGAGCACCGTCTGACAGTCTGGAAATTCTAGTGTAACCTAGCTAAAACCCTATTACTTGTCAATTATATAATTGGATATGCATATCTTGCATGCGAAACTACTCACATGTCATGGATTATATTTATATATATATGGTCATATATGGATGTGCATGCATCCAATAAAGACTAATGAATAATAAAAAATTACACAAAATTGTTATCTCACGAGTCACAGACAATACAGTATATAAAACAAAAGGTACGTGGATGTGCTTTTTTGAAGTCGCCACGCACATATTCATTTGGCAGTTTTACGAATCAGAAACTGTTAAAATTTCGGTATCCCTTGAAATAACCAGTAACAGACACTCGTATTATCGGTGTCCACTTGCATGCAATCAGCCCATTGCACTTTATCCCCAGAATGTGTGTCTACGGAGACGCATATCTTACGATTCCAGTGCAATTAATAATCCACACTGAAAAACAAAATCAAGACAAAGACTGTTTTCCTAGTTATTAGGCTTCTCTCTTCACGAAATTGCACCTGACTTTCAGTGAAGTCAAAAGCAGGCGTATATATTAATTTAAAAACCAAGTATCTCGGAAATTATCACCGCGAGAATGTTTATATATATTTTTATGTCGGAATTCAGCAAAATAGTAGTCGTGAAAAGAATGAAGTGATACCTGGAGAAGAGAGTTCCACAGTCACATCTATATTCTTTAGTTCCACAGGTTTTAGAGTGCGCTTTCCAATCTGACTGAACCGCGTAGATCTTTGAGCATTTCTCGCATTTCCACTTCTTCTCTCCATGTTTTCTGCAGTAGTGTTTCTTAATTCCAGTAAGATCCCCCAGAGCCCTCGAGGGGTTGTGATGAACGCATGAAGGCTCTGGGCAAACGTAGGCTCTCTTTTTCACCTCTTTGCTGTTCCTTTGCTTCAGTTTCCACGGCAGGTTATGGCCTCTCCTGTGAAGTTGAAGATTCTGGTCTCTCTGGAAACCCTTGTTGCAGATTTCACACACAAACCTATTGGTGGCCAGAAGAGTCTTCGGGGATAAGGCTATCACTTCTGCATCGGGGTCTGAAATGAAACACCATGATCAAACACCAAGAAAAATAATTAGAAAACCTAACCACTGAGTAAACTTTGTCAAATTAGGAGAATACTGGAGTCTGGACTAGAATTCTTGTTGAAGCTAAACTTACAAAAACAAAAGACAGAAAACCTACACATGATATGTGCTGATAAAGAGAACAAATAGTGATTTAAAGAAATCGATCGAAGGGGCTTAATTAATTAAATAACCTGGGTTTCCGGGGAGGCTTCTCTTCTTCTTGATCTTTGCAGGCTGCTGAGGAGGAATTGTGGAGAGTACGGGATTTACTCCAGAGAGGTCATGAAGTCTAGTAGCAGAAGAGACAGAGGATTCTACGGACAAACAAGTAGTAGAATTGGACATCGCCGCAGGAAACATTTTGCCTTTGCAGAAAACTCCAACAGGGAAAAACAAGAAGAAGAAAAAGTGAGATACGATATTCTAATATGTCTTTGTTTGTTTGAACTTTGAAATCCTATATCCTACTACTCGGGTTCTTGCAACTTTGGGAAGGCACTAGTTAGGAAGAAGGCGGGCCCGGAAAAGTGCAAAACCTTGCTTAATTGACGACAGAACTAATTAAGCTGAAGAGTTTTGTTGTGAAGAGATGCGGAAGGGAGAGAGAAAGGGATGATTCAGTTGGTGGGAAAAAAGCAGAATTAGTCTCGTGAAGAGATGATGACGATGACGATGGATTATTCTCCAAGTCGCTATCTAGGCCATGGATTGCTTGTCTGAGCAACTCTGCACGACTATTCAGATATATCTCTTTCCAGTCTCTCTGTATGCATGTGTCTATATTTGTAAGGATGCAATCAAACATGGCAAACCCAGGTTTTGAGAAGATTTTTTTTTCTTCAGCACAATCCCACTACCCAATAGCTCACCCTACTTTTTAATTTGTTTTGGTGTCGACAGATGTGGCAAAAAAAAAAAAAGGAAAAGGAGAGAATTATACATTTATAAACTGATCAATATACAGCTACCTGCCGGTTATTCTAAAATAATACTAGCCACCAGGAGAGATAAGAAGGTGATGATGACAATAGCAGACTATGGAGGAAGAGGTAGCAAATTTTAAACACGTACGTAGAAAATAATAAAATAAAATAACCTTGGGTCGTAGAAAAAAGGCAAGGAGACAAGAAAAAAAAGAATGAGAAAGTCTGGAGATAGAGTGATGAGATATAGAAGGATTAGAATGCCAGGGAAAAGACTAAGAACTATCCTTTACCAAAAAAAAAAAAAAAAAGATCCACAAGATTCGTAAAATTCCCTTTCGTTCCCTGATTTCTTTCTTTGTTTAAGTGTTCTTTTATATATGGCGAGCTGGATCTGATATGTTGGCGCTTTTTCTGTTTTTTAGTTCCTGTAACAAAACAACCCAAACCCAATATGATTTGATATGAATGGAATGAATATTTGTGGACCAATAAGAAGAATGACATGGTTTTTTTTTTTTGAGAAAAAATAAGAGGGATTGGAGAATGACAAGTTTTATTTTATATATATATATATATATATATTTTGGAAAACAAATTTAAAAGATGAAGAAGGCTAGAAAGGCTAGTGAGAATAAAGGCAAATATCAAGAGATAACCCCACAACCAACATGATTGATTCATTGATTGACTTTAAGCTTATATATATAACCTAGTCATTACGTACCTTATAGTTTTGCCTAGATTGTAAAGCCATTCGGCTCTTTTGTAATTTCACTTGCGTAAATCAGTGAATGCTTGTTACTTTGCACCCAAACACTATAATTATTGATTATTCTTAGTTATAATTTATTAATCAATGAAAATGTGATATGTATTCTAAAATCTTTTTTCTATGTATATATTACAAATACACACTGATATACAGAATAATTCTCTAGCCAATTGGGTATACATATTTTCCATGCAGTTATCATGTGTTTCGTGGAATTCAGAAACATACAATTGTCTCCACTATACTCTTGAGGATTTTCTTCCTCTCTCTTTCTGTCCCTCTATCTTTTGGCATCATCATTCTCTCATATCCTACTGTGCACGGTGAAAGTGCTCAGTCAAACCCCACAGGAGAGAATTTGCATGGTTTTCCTGCTTTTTAATTCCTCTTTATCTATCTCTCTTTATTCCAAATCCAACTCTAAAGCAATGAAAGGATAGCAAGCATTGCCCATTCTATCCACATACGTGCACTAAAAATTTAGCAAAGATTTGCTTGTACCTTCGTTGGGCTTGGAGGTCAAAATTGTCTTTGTAATAAACTTACTTTTGCTAGGGTCCATGCGTGAGAAAGCTACGCACGAATTAGCAGAAGCATGCAAGCAATTCCAAATACCCTTGGCATGTAAAATAGGACCCATCATATAATTTAGACCTCTGCGAATTTCGAATGCACATAGGCAAATATTTCAGATTTGCTGGTGTATATCTTTTGGAATCCTGTGTCTGAGATCTTATTAATATCACAAAGTCCAATTTCTCTGAGGAGTTAATTTGCAGGTAGCAAATGGGTTTAAGAACTAGTTCAAGCTAATGTATGTATGTATGTATGTATAGAACGTAACCTGCATATACAAGTACGCTGTGATCTGCATATACAAAAGACTTATAAGTAGTGCTGGGAGAATGATGGAACTCAAGAATGGAGATCACAATTTGACCTGTAATATCAACTTTTCGAAGTTGGTTTCTTGGGGTTTACATTGTTTCCAAAAATCTTGCAGGAAATTGATTAAGTATCGCGTGGAAAGTTAGTTTTATGGGGAACTCTTAATTAGTACGCCTCTGAAGATTTTGATGGCCGGGATGGTCTGTTGACTAATTAACTCGAGAGATGTCCTTTCGAGATACGGTGGCCTAACTCTAATAATTTTGCGGAGAAAATTCTGCACTTTATCTCATGTTTTCTTTCTTTTAAGGTGGAACAGGATATTTACAAAAAATACAATGGTATATGCATTAGTGAACTGTCACGGATGATATCTCCGTGACCGTGTAAAGACCAAGATAATGAACGGTCTGCTGGTTAGCCTCGCACAATATGGGTAAAGGGGGCGGCATTAGCATTGGGGGTGTTCTGCCTCAGTTTTCGGACTGAGTGCACAACTGGTCGGGGGCTAGTGCCGCCTCCCTGATGAGCCCATGGTAGGGCAAAACCAATGTGATCCGTACGTGGTAAGGCTTGTCCTGAGGATTATGGGGTCCTCCAGGACGCCGCACGGGCGCCGTGTGCTGCGCCAAACTCTCAGCCAGTGACAGTTGATATCAGAGCAAGACGTACTTTACTGTCGTGCTCGCGTGGGGTCCCACGTTGGGATTGGTTGACCTCGGCACCGCTCCAAAAAGGCTTCCGAGCAGGTGGGTCCAAAAGTGGGGACTCGGGCAGGAAGGTTGGCCGTTGTCGACTCCACTCCTGTTGGCTCGCGGGTGCGAGTGGATCCGAAGAGTGCAGGACTCGGGTGGCCACTCAGCAAGTAAGCTGATGTGTTTGTGGCAGTACTGTATGTACGATCCTTGGGCGGAGTCGTTCTCCCCTAGCACGAGGGCGTGCTAGATTGGGTGTGGGAGAATGTCACGGATGATATCTCCGTGACCGTGTAAAGACCAAGATAATGAACGGTCCGCTGGTTAGCCTCGCACAATATGGGTAAAGGGGGCGACATTAGCATTGGGGGTGTTCTGCCTCAGTCTTCGGACTGAGTGCACAACTGGTCGGGAGCTAGTGCCGCCTCCCTGATGAGCCCATGGCAGGGCGAAACCAGTGTGATCCGTACGTGGTAAGGCTTGTCCTGAGGATTATGGGGTCCTCCAGGACGCCGCACGGGCGTCGTGTGCTACGCCAGACTCTCAGCCCGTGACAGAACGCTTCCAAATGCAAATGACTAATTTGACATTTATGGGAAGCTAAAATCGCTAGCTTAGTCAGATACGAATATGACTGAACGAGGAGTGAATCTTATTGCCCAGTTTGATTGACAGGCGCGCGCACGCACACAGTGTTTCCATATTAAGCGATTAAAGGCACACATATGAGGGTTATGATAACAAGCTCGTAATAATGTTCCAGTGCTCCTCTTTGGGCTTTCTAATTCCCATATACAGCACTGCTATCTGAAATGAATCCGCATGCAGAAGAGAGAGAAAGGGAAAGGGAAAGGGGCGGAGAGAGAGAGAGAGAAGGAAGGCATATTAATGAGTGGAAAGGAATACGCTATCCACATGCGGGCCATACATAATTCACGGGTTCTTCTATTACCAGATTCTCCCGTCAACACTGCAGCAAAATTTATATATAGCTCTCTCAAGAGCCTACCAAATATTTACCAATTAAGAGTTTAATTAATGCAGCCATAATTTCAACTTATTATATATTGTTTCCACGTGTATTATATTTACACGAATGAGCTGTCTGCATAGAGTACTCCTCCGTCCTTTTATATAAAATATTTTTTAACAATTTATTTTATTTCTAAATATAAAAAATGATAATAATACTTTTAAGTAATTAAATAATTTTATTTTTATCTTAAAAAATTGAATATATCATTAACTGTAAGTTTTCCTTACCACCATCATAATATTCATTATAATATTATTAGGGATAAGATTAAAAAATCATTGTATTTTTATGTAAGGTCAATTAAATAATAAATTTATGCAGGATTTAATTAAAAACAGTTTATATATAGGAATAGAAGTAGTATATTGCTACTTAAACACCTATGTTATTATTAACAATTCAGGCATACTATCATTTACACGCGTGGGTAATGTGCGTGTCTATATGTGTCAGTTTCAATTCATATTAGTAACAACAAAAGATGGTTCAATAACCATCTCTAGCGGCATGTGTTTATCAAAAAATTATACGTAGTATATATGGGAAATAAATATACTAAGATTCTTGTTATTTTTTTTATAATTTAGATATTAAAGTGAACTGTCAAATGAAGAAAAGATAATTTTCTGTTTACTACATTATACTAATTAAAATTCTCTTTTCATTTAAAAAGAAAAATTTTATAACTATAATTCTGGCAATATAATTTATTATTTTCAATTAAAGGTTTACCGGGATGTTAAATTATTTTTTTACGGTTTTACGAATATCATTGTAAATGAATGCGGCACACTCTGCAAGGAACCAAAAGTGGTATTAATATGGTCAGAGGAAGGAAACAAAATTGAGAACACGATGAGCCGAAGAAGGGAAAGGGGAATTGGCAAGGAAATTCTCAGAGTCTAGCATATTTGCATTGAGAATCCACCGTTATTCCCACATCCAATTTTATATATATATATATATATCATAAACAATAGTATTTTTGAAATATTTACAGAGCAAGGTGTAGTTGGTGAATTGAAACTTGAAAGTGAAGCTGACGACGGGTCTAGCAAACCTCCAATGAATGAAAAAGCAGATAAGACCTTGATTAAAAAAGGGCAAAAAAAGAGAGAGAGAGAGAGAGGATAAAATAGAGTGGGCGCAACTTGTCATTACAATATTCACTCATTTAGAACCATTTCACAAGGCCCAAATTGTCTGATGTATTGAAGGAATCAGTCTCCTGATCCTGGAAAAGACCCTCTTGCAGAGACTAGTCGGTTTTATAGGTAGTTCGAGCCCACTTTCTCCGTCCCTTCTTAAAAGCCCTCTTTTGACCAAAACTGAGTTGCAGGCAACAACTGTATTTTAATTTAAAATTTTAAAATTTAAATATATAAATTATTTTTTATATTACATTAATTATTAAATTTAACGTTATTTAATATGAAATTTTTTATATCATTTTTTGTTCACTTACATTTGAATAACCTAATATATATAACTCAAAAAAAGAAAACAGATTGAACTTTAAATTATTTTTCATGCAAATGTGGCTCTTGTAATCATGTTATTTTTTTAAAAAAACAAATATCTTATTCATGACTTATAAATAAAATCACTCACTTTAAATTTTATATGTTGCAGCAGCCTATGGATACCGGGCATATTAGCATTGAATATTGATAATGATAAATATTGATAGTATTGTCTTGACTGGTGAGTCGGCTGTAAGTTTGGCAGCTTAAATTTGAATTCAACTCCATGGAATTTCTCCAACTTGAAATCAACGTCCAAATTGTCACCTACCTTCTTTGCTCATTCATGTCTGCGTAGCATGACAATCTTGACAGTGTCAATTCAAAGAACTGGACTGTACGAGTAGGTAGTTCATTTTGTTCGTTTATCATTGGCACCATCCTAATTCAGAGCGTCATGCACCTTCAATTCTGTTACGAACGCGGTCAACCATGGATCACAAGAACTTCCTGCCACGTAGATTATTGAGTTCAAAGTCCTTACCAGCAATCCAGCCCATGCTCCATTGCAAATTCAGAATTAAACGCTGAACTCCAACCACTTGATGATTATATATATATATATATATATATATATTATTTCTTAGTGAAGTTGAATGTTTTTGACGGTGAAGTGTCAAGTGTGGCCTGCCATAATTCTACACGTTGCCCCATTCTGTGGAATCAATGCTGGAGTTACTAGATTCAATTTTAGTAGGCAATCCAGAGAAACTCGGGTAAATATCATATCAAGCGTGACTTTTACAAAAATCCCAGGTTCGCTACCTAATAGACTTTTTGGCTGCAGGGCACTGCCGTTACGACTGAGATATCAATCACACAACTTCGCGGACCACAGTTTTAGCTTTTAGTATTACCACCACTTGATCTGACGATATGCTTCGAGCCCACTTGTAAAATGTTTTCACTATCATGTCCTGTGGAACATTTCACAACAGGATCATGGAACATGTCCACACAAACATCAGCAACTTGGATTAATCATTTTTTTCATAAACGGGCTCTTCAATGGTTGGCTTGTGCTCTAGAGAGAGACACGTTTCGTTGCAAGAGTCCATAAATAGTGCAAATAATAGTTCATGACATGAGAACATGGAGCTGCTTGCATGATACAGATGTAACACAACGGATTTTGTCCACCGTGGCATTCATTTAATCCAGACAAATGACTGAGGACAACAATGAACATGGCAAAAAAAAGCAAGGGGAGAAAAGAAAAATGAAACACACAAAATTAAACCACGATTCAGGCTCTGCTTCAAATGCAATATTCAGTAACTGATGGTCCCTGGTGTTACTTCAGCCACTTCTCATCCACTCCACAGCTTCTGATAATCTACATTCAATGAAGTCAAAAATTAGAATCACAGGAGGCTAACACGATAATAACGGGGAAATATTGCATACGAAGGGGTTGAAAAAACTAAACCTGAGATTAAAAAATGACTACTAGTTAACGCCACCACAGGTTCCTGTCGAAGCAGCGGGTTCAAGCCACCTAATCAACATTGAGAAAAGAATGAGAAACTGGGGATTCAACAAAATGCTACAAAAAGGACATGAATTGGGTTAGAAACACCAAAACCGAACGATTTCCACATATACTGCTCCACAATTTCAGTGTCAGAAATCGTGAGGTTCACTGAGGACTTGAACCCATGTAACCCAAGCGCTTGGCCAAGACATTGATATCTTCACCTTCACCTGCATCGCTTGGAATATCTAGTTCACCCTCAACATTTTCACTAAAAAACTCTTCCCAGAATCCTTCATCAAGTTCGTTGTCCAGCCTCTCTGGTGATTCAAATGTTTCCTGTTCTCTTTTACGCCTACCAAGACCTTGCATTTCCATAGCTAGCACTTCAAGCTCAGACACTTCAAACCCATAATTCCCAACTTCTGTGGGCTCAACTTTAACATGATTCCTTCCCTCACTTTCACTGCTTGATTCAGCAACATCACTTGGTATTTGCTCAATTGACCTTCTTCTTTTCTTAGTCATGGCTTCCTCCAGTTCCTTTCTCTTCCTCTGTTGGAGTAGTTGGTGTATAAATGCTGGATTTTTCAATGCTCTTGCTAAGAAAGCCATCATTTGTTGCTGCTTCATTTCTGTGCCTTCTAACCTCTGCTCCATCGCCTGAAGGTAGGCTCTGGTGTTCTGTTGCTGCTGTCTAAGCTTCACGAGTTCTATCATCAACACTTGCCGGTCACGCCTTAAACGTAGAATTTCTTCATCTACTTCAAACCTGCCGACTTCAGCACAGTGACCTGGTGCTTGGGAGGATGGAGTAACCTGAGAAGGCGCTCTCCTTCTTCGTATGTTCCTCAGCAGATGCTTGTGTCCTCTCATAAATCCTTCGTTTGCAAACTCCCATATATCGGGATCAATTTTTCTAAAACCCTGTCACATTAAAATGATATTAACCCTCGTTCACTATCACGCAAGTACAAATAGAAGAAGAGGCAATGAAGAGAATAATACATACGTAAGTGTTCAATTGGCGGACAAAGCTTGAGAAATTGTTGTGCTTGAAGCATCTAGGAAGAAGATTGGTAGAGAAAGAGCATGGATCCCAAACAACAAAACTTGTTCCACCTCTGCTCCACGAGACTATGTGATCGGTAGAAGGGTCATCCACCATATCAAACGTCTTGTTGAGGAATGGAGGTGGTCCTGTTTCATGAAGTCCCTGCACTGGCTGTGGAGGAAGAACCATTGCTGGCTCACCTCCTACGTCGGATGAAGATGGTTCCAAGTACTCTTCTTTAATTCTGTACAGATAATTCATCCTCGAATTCCTCTGCAACTTTGAAAGACTTGATAGGTTCAATGACTCTGATGAGTTCGGTTGATTCTGTTCTATACCCGGATACAGAGTATATAAATGCGGATAGATTTCTTTATTGAAAGGATCGCAGAAAAGCGATAAACAGAGTTTAATCACTCAAGCGAGAGGATGAAAGGGCTTGAAGAGACTTATGTGGACTCGTCAGTAAACTGGAATTTACAAACAGGGAAATAAAAAGAAATCGAGGTATTTATCCAGAAAAAATTCAAACGAGACCCTGTCCGTCAGAGGAGTTCGAGATGATCTGAAGCAGTGAATTTTGCAATATGGATGATGAGAACGCGGCGGATTAAGATTTCCCCCGCAGAAACTCGTCTAGGCCGTTAAGAGAAGTTAGTTATTCGCATCCCCATGTAAAAAGAAGCTAAAAGCGCAGCGTTGAGGCGATTAAATAGAAGAGAATGGTGTGACGTAAGTGGAGAAGCAGGGAATAAATTATTAGAAAGTTCTGGAGTCATTTTAAACAAATCCTTTCCTCAAATGGCACTTATCAAGTGGCCGAATGAAGAGATTGAGAGAGATAGTGGTCCTTTAGCTCGGAAGGTTCTGGAAATTACAGGGAGAAGCGAGTGGGAATAGCGATCATAGTGGGAAGACTGTTTGTGGGGTTTCACGCCCACACATTACGGTATAATTGAGGTGCACGAAAGACCAAAATTCTCTCTCTTCTGGTGTTGGCAGGTGGGGGAAAGGCCTGTCGTACGTGCAAAGCAAAGTGGAACAAATACATTGCTCCGTACGTTCACACATTTGAGGTTATCTCATCCTGTCAGAGTTTTCCACGAAAAAATAATTGGCAAGCTCTTGCTGGAGACTGTTTTAGCTTTGGTATAAGATTTGTTCTATGTGAGAAGGATGCAGTTGTCGAGTCTCTCTGGTGACACGTCTCCATGTCCACTGCGAGTCTGCGACTGACTCATAGACTCTCATTCCCAGAGCATCGGCGCGCGTCCCCGGAGATCGCAATATAATATTGCTCTAAGCGACTTTGAAGTTTAATGTCATTGTGATACCATTTTTCAAGTCCAGAGATTATTCAATTTAGTGTAACTGTGAGGTAATCTCGATGACACGTAACAGAACAAACTTGCTCCTGCACTGAATGTAACAGTTAATTGATTAAGAAATTTGCATTAGTCCTAGATAATATTTGATCTATAAGACCTTAATCTACTGTCTTTTAAATTTATAATTTCCTCGAAATTATATCCTTTTAATTCTATATATTACAATAATTTTTTTTTATCAATGGGATGGGATAGTTTTAAATACAAATGATTAAAAGAGTATTTTAGGAAAATTAGTACTTTTTTTTACAAAATATGTAATTTAATTAACTAACTGACTTAATAAATGTAGATTGGTAATCTAATTCTTACATTTTGAATTTGGTGAATGAATTATTTAAAAACTTTTTTTGTTTTAAATTATAAGATACTTTTAAAAGAATTTTTTATCTCAAAATATAAGATACTTTGAATAATTTAAGATTTTATTAGATACAATAATTTAAATTTTATCCTTTATTTCTTTATAATTAATTTTTTTATTTTTTTTAATATATTAAATGATAGATATTTTTAAAGTTTATATTTTTATTTTAAAAAAATAATATTATTAAGTATATTTAATAAAATTTATTGATATATAAAATTTTATTTAAAAATATTTTATAATTTAAAACGAAGTTGCTGGGGTTGAAACTTCTACAACGTTCCGGAAGGTACTAGATTACCATGAATGCCATCAGACATATCTTTGTCTTTAATTCTGTACACAAATTATTGGTGGTTGTCTTTCATTTATTTATTCATTTTTTAAAGAACGATAAAATCCATTTCGTTTTCCCATTGAAAAGTTGATAGCGATGCTCTATTCACGCCTGGCCAGGTGTCTATCCTTCACTTCAAGCGGGTCAAATATTCGCAAATTAAACAAAGTGGAGTTTGGTCTGTCCAAAGCTAGATTAATTGGCATTGGCCATCGGCCTTAGTAGATATTTTTGAGCGTATCTATATATTTTAATCACAAGGGATCTGTTGTGGGGTTACATAGCATGTGACATCACTTTTAGGTAAAATCTTCAATGAATGCATTTATGGTTATGGATTTGGGTTTGACCGAACCAAATGAAATCCTAATACTGGAGGTTAGGCTGGAAAATAATCAGGAAAAAAAAAAAAGTCGATTACACCAAAAAAGAACAAAACAAAGCAGAGACTCACGCCCTTGTATGAATGTTCCCTGCTTTTATTAATTTCTTTCTTTTCGCTCCCAGCTTTAAAGTGGGCCTGTCGTGCTATTACCAACATCCACGTCCTTTGCCGTTCAACTTGCCGATTTAGTGGTTTAATAGTTCGCAGAAAGTATTAAAAGTGTACTGATTATTAAACCAATCAAAATATTAATTCAAAGATTATCAGTTAAAATTATAATTAAATTATAACTAAATCAGTTATAAATAAAACATTTTGTTAGAGTCAACATACTAATTTACCGGTTTAGTCAGGCATGCTGATTCAAATTTCTATACCATGATTGGAAGAGATTGTCTTGTCTTTCCTCTTATTTTCCACCCTGATAAATGAGTTATTTCTTCTTCTTCCTCTTCCTCTTTTTCCTCCTCGTCTTTTTTTTTTTTAAAAAAAAAAGGAAACTGCGCGCATTAGTAAATTATCGGCTATGCGTTACTCCAAAGATATTCTGCTCCGATACGCTCTGTTTTCAAAGAGCTTCCATAGTGCATAAAAGTAAAAATATAAACCGAATCCATCTTATATGGATGAGAGGTTCCTGTTAATTTTCATTCAAATTCATAATTATTTTCTGATAAACCTGACTCAATTTCACTTTCGGTGGAAGGCTATGAAATTGATTGATCTACAACTAATTTTTCCGGAGAAGCTTGTTGCATCCCCAGTCAAGAAGTTACAATTACACGTTAAATATTGGTTTGATGGACAGAATTCAAGTCCACGAAATTAATGTTGACATACGAGAGAATATTCATATACAAAAAAGGTAGCCATTTGGATAATTCTTCAAAAACTGAGCTTTGCAGTTATTCATTAGACCTTATTTACGAGACATTTACACGGTAGCAAAATTTGGGAACAAGACAACAATGAGATCATTATTTCAAAAGACAAGAGCTGTTGATAACGAAACAGAGTGCTATTGGATATATAACACGGAGAAGATGAACAAGTAATGAACAGCTTCAGAGGATAAGCTTTTCAGATTCTCTATTACTGGCCTGCGGAACCTTGCTGAAAATAGCCCTGACAAGATCGGCGTAGAGGGGGAATTGAGCGACGGCGTAGAAAGTAATAGGCAAGATAGTGGCGGCGTAGAGCGGGAAAACGACCTGCTTGAGGTTGTCCTTGAGCACGAAGAAGAAAGCGGCGGAGAAAGAAACCAATATGGAAGTGATGGACACGAAGAGGGAACTCAGGCCCATGAGAAGTTTGAGAGGCAAGTCTTTGCGGAAATCTCGAGGCTGCTGGCGGGAAGTGAGGATGGAGAGGAACATGATGAGAGAGGTGATGGAGCAGCAGAGAGCCAAGAGGGAGGTGAGTGCAAACATGTTGAAAGCCGGGTGGCGCTCCAAGTAAGGCTTGCCGGTCTCCTCCTGAGTGCCTCCGGGGATGGTGGTGGACGTGGCAAAGGCCACACCGGCAATAAGCGCCGCCACGACAGAGCACGACTCCGACGTGTGGTTGAGCCATTCCGCGCCGTCTTTCACCAGACCCTCGTGATCTTTTCTGAAAATCTCCACCGGCGTCTCCTCGTGGTTGTTGGGGAGGAACAACACATGGCGCGGCGTTACATCCTTGATATACTGCACATACAAAAGTTGATTTGATTGAGGAACCTAAAAGGGAGAGAAGAATGAGAGACGATGTATGTATACACATACCAGAAACCATTTGATTTCCCACTGCATCTGCAAGGCAGAACCAGGGATGTGCCAGGGCTTGTACTGGGAGAGCTTGGCGGCGACGTGAAGGACAGTGTTGCCTTCATTGTCTACGCCTCGAACGAGGTTGTCCCAAAGCCTCTGGTGCCTGAGGAGTCCAAACATATGGGGTTGCCTGTGCTCAACAGCCACATGCAATACATTTTGGCCTTGGGAATTGGTTTCGTGGATGGCGCCTGGTTTATCAGCCAGAATTTTCTTCACTATTTCCAGCACTCCATTCTTGGCTGCAACGAACAATGCTGATTCCTTTCGTACACCACCATTTTTCTTCTCCTCATGATCGCCCCCTGCAAATTATAATGCAATTAGTATGGTGTGGAGTAGGATCTGAATATATAATTAACCACTCCCTTACATAGGCATACGCAGCATCCGCTAAAAGCCCTGCTTGCAGATTCACTAGCTTTGCCGTTGTACAAGCACAAACGTGTGAAGAGTTCAGCCAATTCTTGGGTGTTTTGAAACATCAACTGTATTAGTCCAGGTGCCAAAATGGGAGATAGTGAAAGGGAATACGAGAAATAATGGAATCAGTGGATCAGTATTCGTCCCGCCGCAGCCAATATTTTAATGAATCAAAACTTTTATATTTAAGATAAATTATACATGTATACACACTAAATTTATTATGCGCAGATGTGTAAACATTTGTTATCAGCCATTTAATTTTATAAATATATATATTTTTTAAAAAATAACTTGAATTAAATGATTAAAAATTTATATAATTTTTTTCAAGATTATAAATATAGCATAAATTTAAAAAATTGCATATAAAATGCTTAGTATATGCATACAGAAAGAGTAAATGCTTGACCACCCAAATTAGGATAAGTTGTTTATTTTTGCTTTTTTTTTTCTTTTTGATATTGCTTGTTTTCCGTCTAATATTTTCAATTTCGCCCATGATATGGGTAAGAGATACTTGCTCTTCAGCTGATTCTTCTAGTCTCGTTTCTTATCTCTTTGACTCTTTCTGTCTTTCTTTTTCTTTTTTATTTTTTTTATAATAAATATACTGCGGGGTTGTTACATTGATCAATATGTAGACACTCCCCACCCCCAAGTAGTTTTTTTTTTTTTTTTTTTGCGAGTGAGTAATAACTAAACATCTCCAAATTTATTCGTATTCCAGCCTGATCATATATACTATATATAATGGTAGAGAGAGATACCTTTTTGTTTGTTTTGATCGAAAGGAACATTGTGAATCTGCTGTTGATTCATTTTAGCAGCTGCAATATTCCAGTAATACTGATGAATTGGGATGATTTGGAAATAAATGAGATTAATCACAATTAGTGAGAAAAACAATCCAAACTCATAAAGGGGTCCTACAACACGCATACAGTGGCGGATGTACGTATGATTGAAGGTGGGCAAGTGCCCCTTCAACTTGAGAAAAATTATAAGGAGGATGTAGGAGTTAACTTGTAAGGTATGTAAATTTTTATTTTTTAATTATTTTACATTTTATATAATTTATGCCTCCACTTAGCGTCCTACATTCATCACTGCACACATATAATGACCTATTGCTCTTTGGTCCTTAGTATAGCACCTAGTTAGTTTCATTTTGATTTTAAATGTAAGGCTTCGATCTCTTTTTATCTCCTATATATTATTTATTTCTCAGAATACTGATCCTATAATTATGTTTATGCATAACTTATGCTGACAATACTCCAATTTAAATGATTAATTAAAAGGAGGAGTATTTTTAAAAAAACCAACACATTCATATGTTTAATTTGTCACAAAATACCTAGACTTGCTTAATTTTCTTAATCTATCATGAATTAGTTAACTATTTCCTATTCAAAGGGAGAACACGGTGTGTGTGTGTGTGTGTGTGTTTTGGGGGGGGGGGGGGGAGATTACCTTCATGCTGGTTCTGATTGCCATCAACATGTTGTTCCCCGTTCTTGCGAGTATCACCTGAAATTGCAATTATTAGAATGAGAGCATATATATATCAGAAGAAAGTATCCATGTGCATGCACGTATCGGACAATATGGATAGAATGATGAGGAGTTTGTAAAGCGAGAGACCTGCGCTGTGACGACGGATGCTAAAAGGATTGGGAATTTCGTCGTCTTCGTCACCGTCACGTTCAGGAGGGCATTGGGGTGCACTTCCACCTCCAACGTAGGCTGTACTTTTATGCTTCCAAAGTGCTTCCAGTATTTGACCACACCAAACGTGCTTCTCTTTCTTCCTCCTTATATCCTCTAATCCTTATTAATTAATGTATCATGATTCAACAACCATATACACCCACATTAGATAATTATGGAGGAGGGAAGCCTCCTTTGCACCTCTTATAAGGAAAGTGTAAATCTGGACCGTTTTAAGATTTAAGATTTTTATTTTTATTAAAATAAAATATATAAAAATTATAAAAAAATTTAATAAATATGCATATCAATCTAATAGTCTAGATTTAATGTGGATGATTTAAATTTAACATTAAAAATTTAAATTGATTATTCATATATACTCTGAATAATGTAGATATGCTATGGACAGAGCAATCAACTTATTAAAAATTTTTAATATTAAATTTGAATAATCTTTATTAAATCTGAACTATCTAAATTAATGAGCAAGTTTATTGGAATTTTTTTATCATTTTTAAATATTATATTTTAATAAAAATAAAAATAAAAAAAATTAAATTTAAGTCGTTTAAATTAAATTTAAATTTTCTAAATTTGTACCTCCCTCCATGGGAGGTGAGGAGCTCTGATAGTTATATTAAAATTACATGATCCATTATTCTATAGTATAATCTAGCTTGGTAGCGAAAGATAGAGAGCGTACCAAAGGCCCCATAGGCAAGCCAAACAAGACAGGTGAGTGCACGCGCCAAAATGCCACAACATATCCAATAATTTCTCGGCACATTTTCATATATTTCGCCGTAACTTGGGTTTTCTGCATCCCCTTCTTTTTCTGCCGAACAACCTATAACAAAATTCAGCAGATTCATTATCAGCATCAGACTGCTCATTGTATTTGCAATGATGACGTGGGCTGGAGAGCTGGTATATCCTCCTCCACACCAATTTCTATTCCTTTAAAACTCAGCAGATTCATAGAAGCGTCAATCAAGGAATTACACACACACACTCTCTCTCTCTCTCTCTGATAACGTACTTAACCAGAGTAAAAAAAAAATTATAATAAAATTTGATGATATGACTAATAAATATGACAAAAAATTATTCTCCCCTTGTCCTGTAAATAAGATTGAAAAGCATATATACAAACCACATTTATGGAGCCAATACATCTTGTTGGGAATAAAGGGGTAACTGCAGGAAAATAGGGAGAGAAGAAAAACGAATAAGAGTAGCAAAAAAATGTTATATCTTAATTCAAAACCTTTTAAATTTATGGTCCTTTTATTTTATTTTATGTTAATTATTAAGATCAATTTTATCTTATATCGGCTCAAAAGCACTTATATACATTCAGACAACCTCACAATTTTTCACTCATATATGAGTTCACAAGCTCCCTCTATTAAAGACATCTCAAACATAGCCCATGAGCTTCCAATCAAGACCAGCCCAATTTTTACGAGCTTCAAATTATGCTGCGATCAAGGCTAGTTCCATTTTAGACTTTAAACATGTGTACAATAATGAGCTTGCAAATTGTGGACGACACCAGGCTATGATATTATTTGCTAGGAATGAGAAGTGATCACTCAAAAAAGGGGGGAGAGGAGATTCAAGTAAGAGTAGCAGAATAACTTCACATCTTAACTCAAAACTTTAATACGTAAATTTATTTCTCTTGTCTCAATTTATAAGATGCTTTTATACAAAATCACATATGTCAATAAAACTTATTAAATACAGCACTTCAGAACCTTATTTTTTTCAAGATAAGAAATAAATTTGTAAATTTTTTTCATTTAATACTCCATTTATGAGATAATAAGAGAGAGAATATAATGAAAAGGGTAATATTAAAAAAATAAATATTAATAAAAATTTATTTTTGTTAGGGTGTTTTATAATTTGTGACGGAGTTAGTATTAATTATTAAGTTTAACTTTATCCAATATGTTGCACTGAACAAAACCTAACAAATTTCAGTGTCAACAAGCATTTTTTCCGAGTGGGTTAACTTTCATTTAAAGAATAATTTATATGTCCTAATCTTTGTGTCAGATAACTAAGGTGAAACCCTCTTATTCAAAATATAAATATTTTTTAACTAATTTTAGTCAAAAATATAAAAAACTTAATACTTGTAAAAAAAAATCTAATTTCATCTTTTATATTTGTTAATCTTGATTCTTGTATCTTTAAATTTATGACCTTTTCCCTCAAGCATCATAAACTATAATTAAGGACAAAAATGAAAAATAATACTCCCTCTGTTAAAAAAATGTAAGGCATTTTTAACCGAATCTCACCTTTTTAAAGTAGTTACCTACTTTTAAATTAATCTTATATTTTCATACTTACTCATATTAAATACCTTATAATAAATATTTAGTCACTATTAATGGGAACACTTTTAAAAAAAGATAATAATTACATTTCGAAAGACTCAAAATGTCTTATATTTTTTAATATCTAATTTCTTAAACAGAGAGAATATATTATTTTATGAGAATAAATGTTTTATTAGTATGGGATTATTATGAAAAGGTGGAAACGCTCTAACTTACCTACTGCATGCTTCTACTTTTTGTTTTTGGCCCACGCGTCTTCTTACTTAAAAACTAAGTAATTAAGAAAATTAAAACTAATTAATGCAATATGTATGAACTTACCCGTCAGAGTAATTGGAGATGGAGGGTTTGACCAGTTCAGGCAGGTGTCACTGCTCTTTGCGCGCCGTTCCGAGGTCGTGAGTGGCTCCACGATAATACCTTAACCAGAAAAGTAAAACAAACAATGATCACAATTTAACATTTTAATTTTTGGACATTGAGTAATAACCGGAAAATTAGGTGCCATACGTAGGAACGAGAAAGATGTCAATTGTCATTGATAATTTGATATACAACTATGAGATTATATTTCTCTTGAAAAGTATAAACAATAGTTAAGACCCAATTTAATGTTAAAATAAATTTCAAAAATTGTCATCCATGTAAAGCTGCCAGTATATATTATAAATTTGCGTTTCGTGATTTTTACAGAATATTTGATTGAGGGATTATTTTGAAGGGGTTGCCTTTATTTTGGTTGGTAAAAAAATAGAGAGGAGCGGAGAGCTCCTTAGTCCTTATTTGACTCTAAACTAGATTTTTTAAAATAAAAGGTGCGGAAAATAAATAAATATTGTTGTAAAAATATTAACATTCTTAAAATAAGAAGAACAGATGAAGTGAAAAGAGGGGCCTGATGGATGTCGTCTACGTGGGCTCCACGAAATTGAAAGAAGGAGAGAAAAAGAGGAAAGGGGGGGGGGGGGGATAGCGTTATACTCACAGGCGTAAAGGAGCTTGTTATACCACCTAAAATTGCTGCTGCTTTCGAATGCGGAAGGCTTATTGGCCAGGATATGGAGCGGGGTAATTCCCTTCTCATCCACACTGCCCACGATCTGGTCTCCGTACAGACTAATGATTTCAGATGCCAGCTCTGCCATCAACATGATGAATTAGTCATGACTAATTAAGACATTATGAATATATGCATACGTATGCATGAGATTATATATAATCATAAGGATGAAAGAACGGTACCGAAGTGGTCTCGGCGAATGGTGCTGTGAAGGACGGTGTCCCCGTCGCTTCCTCGTCTGCAGGGCCCCACAGACTTGTCGGGGCAACGAGAGTGCAGGCACATGAAAGCATCCTTGTGGCCTTGAAGAGCGGCCAAGTAGAGAGGCGTCTCTTGATTCTTGTTCCGAGCTACAATCAAATTGCATTCACCTCCTAGAGCTTCGGCGATGCACTCGCACATCTCGCGGGACCCTCTCGACGCCGCGCAGTGCAGTGGCGTATCTCCTCGCTCGTTCACTGCTTCCAAGGCCGACAACGTCCTCTTTCTCTTGATTTCATCTACCAGCTCCTTCACGATGCCCACTCTGTCGTCGTTCACCGCCAAGTGCAACGCGGTGTCGTTCGCGGTGTTGATTGCTCTCTTGTGTATCCTTGCGCTGCTTTTGTATTCCTCCACAACCTCGTCCCATCTTCCTTCCAGTGTGGAAAAATATAAGCTCTCCATTTTGCACCGACTCTACTTGGTGTTGCTCACTTTTGCTTCCTCAACTTCCGTTTTATACCAAACTTAATAACATCCACCACTGCGCTGCCAAACTCCGTCAACTCGTTCCATGTACACGTCTGTTCAGTGTACACACCACTCGGGGAAGCAAGAATATAAGACCTTTCATTGTGAAAGAGCAAGGTATTGTCTGTTGCTCCCTTGATTGGGTTCAGTGCAACACGCGCGGTTTCCCACAGTTCAAATGTTATAAGTAACCCAAAAACAATTCCTACCGCGTTGATGCCACGCCTTCTTCTGAATTTTGTCATGCAGTTTAATAATGCCTCTGATTGCTTAAATATATATACATATATTATTAGTATACGTAACAACTAACCCCAAAAACATCCATAATATTGTTTATACTTTATTAGAAATAAGTTTACATTCTTTCACAATATGAATTTTTTTAATAAATAAAAGTACATTAGATATTTTAGAAAATCACATCCAAGTACATAATATATCAGTTGAAAGAAATGTTTTTATTTTTCTTTTTCCTTTTTTCATATCATCCATGAAACCATAGAAAAATATAATATACAAATTTAAATGTGACTGCGTGTGTTGTATCTAATTATTAAAAAGTTAAGATTAAAATATTAATCCAGATATAATATAAATAAATTATTAGTCATTCAATAAAATCATATCAATATATAATTAAATGAAATAATTATATAAAAAGGCCTATTGCACCCAAAAAGAAGAGAACAAAGCCGAGAATCAAGTACGTCCTTGTATGAATGTCCCCTTCTTTTTTTCATTTCTTTCTTTTTCGCCCCGGCTTTGAAGTGGGCCTTTCGTGGTATCACCCACATCCACGTCCATGGATCTTCTACTTGCTGGTTTGCTGGTTTATTAGTTCGCAAACTATCTATCAGCTGTGGTTTGCTCCGTGCGTTCTGCTTTCAAAGAGCTTCCATTGTGCAGGAAAAAAAAAAAATATAAACTAAATCCGTCTTACCTGGACGATGAGCAAGGAGTGGTTGCTTATTGAATCATGCGACGAGCTAGCGAGGCGATAGTGGGAGAGAGCTTCCTGTTAATTTTCATTCACATTCATGATTATTTGCTCATAAACTTAACTCAATTTCAGTTGCTGAGGAAAGGCATGTGTTGGAATATTAGTGTTAATATGCTGGTATCCCTAAAATCTATATAAAGGAGCCATGTATGTCATGAGTCTCACATCAATGAGTTTTACAAGTTGAGTGGGTGATGTAAAACAAGAAACAGTAGAGGGGAAGAGAGAGGAGAGAGAAAGGAGGAGAAAGAGAAAAATTGTATAACTTTTATTCAAATACCAGAATTAAATATAATTGAAGAAATCTAAGACTATTTATAAAACCTTAGAAATAATAAAAATAAAAATAAATCAAAATCAAAATCAAATAATAATCTAAAAGATGAAAATAAGGTATCTAACTAGGCTAGATATCTTAGTTTATTTAAGATAATAATTAAAGATAAAATAAATCTAAGATACTAAAGAAATAATAACAATCTCTAGATATCAAATCAAATCTTAATAAATCCTAAATTAAATCAAATATAATTCTCATCATTTTTTCCTTGTTGAAAGAACTCCCCATTGGAGAGGTAAATGGTTAGTAGTTGTTGAACAAAGTGGAGTCAATAGTGCGGAGCTCTTCTGTAGTGATCCGCATGGCATCGAAATTCAAATGAACATTCCAACGAACAAGGTATCATTGGATAGGACCTACTTGAGTGACAATCATCTGTTCATCCATGACAGCATCAATGGTGCCAATAGGTGGTATAACAACAAGTAATGATGGAATTAGGGCATAGTGAGGCTGTGTACTTGCAAAGTCATTAGAGAGCAAAAGGGGTAGCTCAAAAGTACCCTGGTAAGAAACAAGATCCTCGATATTAAATACTGGACTAATAGACATATTTGAAGGTAAATCTAACAAATAAGCATTAGGTCCTAGTTTTTTTACAATGCAAAAAAGGGCCAGAAGTATGAGCATGTACTTCTTGAGCGAATTTCTCACAAAGAACTCTAGGCGTATGCGAGCCACAATGTAGTCTCTAACATCAAATTCTTGGAAATGGCAGTTGGCAATTAATTTATATGCATCATTACTCATTGCTAGCTTATGCCTAATCTTAGCATGAAGGTTGTGAAGGTAATGGGCAAAAGCTTCAGCTGATTCAGATGTACGAGTTGTAAGAGGGATAGGTAAGAGGTCAATAGCTTGTTTAGGGCTGTACCTTTGAACTATTTGAAATGGACTCTTACTAGTAGATCGATTGACAGAATTGTTATAGGCCAACTCTGCGATTGGCAATACCAAATCCTAATTTCTCAATTTATCAACAACTAAACTCCTAAGCAAGTCACCTAAAATACAATTAGTGACTTCAGTTTGATCATCAGTTTGAGAATGAAAGGTAAAAGAGAACTTTAATTGGGTACTAAAGAGCTTCTAAAAGGTCTTCCAAAAATAACTAATAAATTTAGCATCCCTGTCTGAAACAATAGAAGTGGGTAACTCATGAAGAAAATAATCTCTCGAAAAAACAACTTAGCAAGATGAGAGGCATCGATGGCCTTACTGTGTGGTACAAAGTAAGCCATTTTTCAGAATCGATCGATGATGACTAGAACTGAATCATGCCCTCAGACTGTCTTAGGAAAACCTAATATAGAGTCCATACTAATATCTTCCAGGGTGTCTTAAGAATTGGTACGGGCATATACCACCCTGTATTTCTTTTTTTCACTGTGGTAGTATGGCATGTGTGACATTAAGCTAGGATCCTAACAACATTTTGCTTGAAGAAGGGCCAATACAACTTATCCTCTACTAAGATCATGGCTTTTTGAATACCAAAATGTTCAACTAAACTAAAAACATGTCATTTTCAAATAAAAAATCACGCATCAAAGTATGACGAGTATATAGTCTAGAGCCTTGAAATAAGTACCCATCAAGGACTAAAATGTCTGCATGTTCACAATGATTGCTATCATTAACTTTTCGATATATAAGTTTAAAGTAAAGGCAAGAGGTGCAATCATCCTTTAATCTCTCGAATCCAACAGTACTAACAGTTAATGTGTATAGAAGGTGAATTCTTCTACTCAAGATATCAACTATCTTGTTCTCAATTTTAGCTCGATACTTTACAGTGAAAGTGAATTCTTGCATAAATTCAACCCACTTAGCATGTTTGGTATTCAAGTGCTTTTGAGAGCTTAAGAATTTAAGTGTTTGATAGTTTGAATATAGAACAAATTGTTAAGGTAGAAGGTAGTACTTCCAATATTCAAGTGAACAAACAATGACATAGAATTCTTTATTATACATTGAGTACCTTTACCTTGCTTCATTAAGTTTTTCACTAAAGAATGCTACTAGGTGGCCTTCCTAGCTAAGGATACTACTAATTCCTATACCTGAGGCATCACATGCAACCTCAAAGCACTTATGAAAATCAGGTAGTGTAAGAATAGGGGAATCAGACAACTTTTCTTTAATGGTCTAGAAAGCCTTGGATGCTATGGGAGTCCACCTAAATGTTTCTTTCTTTAGGCAATTAGTTATGGATGTCATGATAGTACTAAAGTCTCATATAAAGCATATATAGAAGGATGCTAGGCTATGAAACTTCATATTTCATAGAGGGTCCTTAATTCAAACCATTCTTGGATGGCCTTGACCTTATCTGGATCAACAGATAGGTCATGTTTGGAAATAATGAATCTAAGACAAGTGATTTAGCCTTGTAAGAGGGAATATTTAGGGAAGTTAACATATAATTGTTCCTCACTAGAATAAGGAGGACCTATTGGAGTTGGACCAAGTAGTCATTCCTAGATTTATTAAAGGATAAAGGAGTAAAAATATCCACAAAGTGGTCAGCTAAGAGCACCTAGTATTTTAAAGTGAGGAAAAGGGTAAAAATACCTACAACGTTACATGTGTGAGTACAAAAGTGACCAAACTATTAACTTTGACCTAACGTCATTGATTTTGACCACCTAAATGTTGATTGTGCATGTCGCGTGTGTGAACACTGTATTTTATCTGGGCATTTTTTTAATTTAATAAAAATAATAAAAAATAATAAAAAAATATATAAAAATATAAAAATGAAATTTAATCCTTCTTAGGATTACATTTTCAAAACCAAAAAAATTTAATTTAATTGATAGGGCTTAATTTTATTTTAGATAATCTTTTTTTGGTTAGGATTTTATTTCTTTTAGTTAATTAAAAATAACCAAAAAAATATAAAAATACAAAAATAAAATTTAATCTTTTTTAGGATTATATTTTAAAAAAATAATTTTAACAAAAATTGAAAAAAAAATCTTGTTTAAATCTTTTAAAATCTCTCCTAAATTATCCCAACCATTCAAAAATATTGGGAATCAATTTTTTTAGACTCAAATATTTTTAAATTTCTCTCCTTAAATCTTTTTATTCTCCATTTAAATATATGTATATTTTAAAATTAAATTTTCCTTTCCCTCTTTTAATCTAATGAAAAAAAGCATTAAAAAGAATGGCAAAAATGCTGGACATGCACATACGGAGCATGAGAAGCTTCACAGAGCAATAGACCAGGAGAAACTTGTATGCACAGAGAACACACAAATGAAAAACTAGAGTCACAGACAGCCACAACACAGAAGAGAAATACAAAACATGAACAGAAATGCAGAAAGCAAAAACGTAGAAAGCAAAATAGAGATAAAGGAACAGATGAAAAGAAGACTATAAATAAAATAGAAACAAAAGAAGCAGAGGCGTGCACTGAAAAAAAAACAAAAACATACACGAAAAACACACAAAAAGGTAGCCATGCAAAGACACACACTCACACAGATGGAATAGCAGAGAAAGCATACGTTACAAAAGGAAAAAAGTGAGAAGAAACAGAGTAAAAATGCAGCACCCACACGCTAGCTGAAAACGAGC